GGACAGAATGCAGAAGATCGTCAAGAAGATCATGCACCAAGTGGGATTCATCCCAGGGATGCAGGTATGGTTCAACATATGCAAATCAACCAATGTAATACACTATCTTAATAGAGCCAAGGACAAAAACCATATGATCATCTCAATAGATGCAGAAAAATAATTCAACAAAATTCAACTCGCATTTATGATAAAAACCCTACAAAAAATTGGAATAGACAGTCTCTACCTCCATTTGATAAAAGTCATCTATGAAAACCAACAGCCAATATCATAGTAAATGGCAAAACTGAAATCCTTCATAATAAAATCAGGAACAAGACAAGAATGTCCACTATCACCACTCCTGTTCAATATAGTTTTGGAAACATGAGCCACAGCAATTAGACAAGAGAAAGAAATGAATGGAATAAAGATAGGAAATGAAGAAGTCAAATTGTCATTATTTGTAAATGACATGATACTGTATATAGAAGACTCCAAGAACTCCACCAAAAGTCTTCTTGACTTAATAATCAAATTCAGTAAAGTAGCTGAATACAAGGCAACACACAAAAATCAATAGCATTCCTCTACACGGACAACAGACTCACTGAGAGAGAAATAGGACAAACAATTCCTTTCACAACAGCATCCACAAAACTGAAATTCCTAGGCATCAACCTATTGAAAGAAATCAAAGACCTCTTCTGAAAACTATAGCACTCTGAGAAGAGAGATTTAAGAGGATTTCAGAAAATGGAAAGACATCCCTTGCTCGTGGGTAGGAAGAAACAACAGAGTGAAAAATGACCATACTTCCAAAACTGCTATAGAGATTCAGTGCAATCCCAATTGAAATTCCAGCAGCATACTTCACATACCTTGAGAAAACAATCCAAAAATTCATTTGGAACAAGAAGAGACCCAGAATAACAGAAGCAATTCTAGGCAACAGAGATATGGCTGGGGGTATCACAACCCCCAACTTGCAACTATACTGCAAAGCTACTGTGATAAAAACAGCATGGAATTGGCAAAGAAACAGACCTGAGGACCAGTGGAACAGATTAGAAGATTCAGAAACAACTCCAGACACACTCAGCCACATCATCATCAACAAAGAAGCCAAACACCCTCACTGGAGGAAAGATAGCCTCTTCAATAAATGGTGCTGGAAAAATTGGGTTTCAACTTGCCA